GTTAATTTTTCAAAGTAAACACATGTTGGATTTGTTTTATGACGATGAGGAGAATGACATTCAGGTTGTTAGAAGACCCCGAATATATAATCSKCAAGTCAATTATTTTGAAATCATGGACACCTTGAGTTTTTTACGCGATTACGCGAAAAACACTGTTCAAACATTACTRCTGGCAATAGAAATAGACCTGCAACATACTACAKAAASTTAWGATAAATGGATAATAGTAAAATTGCCACATGRTAATTAAATGGATCTTTTAGAAAYACCGCTATTCAACCYATGACAYCATTTTTACTTGCGTTKAGGTATTATGCAACTGGATCTCATCTTATTGCTGCTGGAKACTTTTTCGAGTAACTGGTGCAATARCCACATTAGCTCGAAATGRCATTAAACTCCCATCTACAAAAAKSSMAWCTAMRRGCAAATTTTTATGCAMWAGCTCGTTTCCCAAATTTATTTCAGTGTTGSATTGTACTCACATTAAAGTACAATCCTTTGGGGGAGRCAACGCAGAAGTATTTCGTAATAGAAAAGTGTATTTTTCTATCAATGTYCARRCGACATGTSATTACTATTTTGAGGGAAAATGATTCCAGTTGATCTGTCAGTTGTTTGAACCAATCAGAACCGTTGATTCAAAGGAAATACGATCTTACCCGATTAGACTGATGATTATCTAACCGGAGTTAAAATGTTTGTTGTGGAACGCATGACATTTAATCATGATTAAAGTGGTGATTAAAAAATGATTGGAATTAGTTGACCAAGAATTTTATCACTCGTGGTGGAACCGGGCCTTAGTATAGTATCTCAATGGTGTTTACACATTAGCTGTTGCCGCTGTTGCTTTTATGTGAGCAAATCAGCTTTCCGCTGAAAAATCTGTGCCGTTTTCGTTGGAAAATATCGTTCTAGGAAATTCTTTTGCTCTTCTCGCTGGCAGATATAAATTATCTCGAAAGTCCCCCTTGTAATGGTGCTTGACGTTGCAAGTGTAAATCCGGGCGCACTTGAAAACCGGAGAGTTTTTCCATATTCCAAGCAGGCCCCATCCATCTTGCAATTAGGATGTGCACCTTGTTAGTGCAACACTTGTCGGCTTGCCCAACCCAATAAGAAAAATCTGCTTACCTCGGTTTTCGCATGGGTCTCCAGATAGTAAATGTCCTGATGGGGTGAACAGTTGATTATCCGGCCTTTCATTGCTGAAACAAATTGAAACGGTGGTTTAGCTGTCCCGTCCTGATGCGAACAATAGAAGGCAAACAAGGCGAGCGGATGCGAATAAAATCGAATTCGACAAGGGAGACGCGATGAAGCAAACAATAAATAATCGGTTTGTTTGTTGGATGGCAGTAGTGAGAAAAGTTTAGTCTAAACGTGGAATTAATTGGCCCGCGACCCGATGACGGACAATAATTTACTCATATAAAGCTGTAATGCCACGTCAATTAGGCCTGGGTAACACTGTGTTGAGTTGTTAGCGCTCTTTGAGTTAATGAGTTTTAACTCATCGCTTAATGAGTGATAACTCGTTTACCGACGACCGAGACTAGAATTTTAAGAACTAAAAAAAATTATCAACTTTCTTTATGAGTTTTACGTTTACCGTAAACGTAACGTTACGTGTTTCCGTTTTTCAAATAGTTGATTATTTGATTTTGCTTTCTCTGATCATTTTTCTGGAAAAAAGACAAGCAAACCTTGCTTCGTTTTTGTCCCAAATTCACGTAGTAATTCAGCGCTAAAGCGGGTATTCGAAAAAGACGATATAGAAGACCAAGCTATAAAGACGACAAGTTTTGTTGTAAAATCGATCTCTTATTTTTTTTAAATAAAATACTCTCAGTTTGCCAGAATTTCAAAGTAAAACGTTAGAGAAAAACACGTTTTTTTGTTTAGAGAGAGTTTTGTGTAGAAATATTGACCTAAAAGTGAAGAAATTGGAATTAAAAAAATCAAATTATTCACAGCGACCAAGGTGACGAGTTTTCGAAATAATCGATTATAAATTTTCACGTGGTTCGAGAAAAATGTTTAGAAAGCTGATAAGGAGCAACGGAACCGAGTTACTACGCCGGTGCGTTGGGTTGGCGCACCAAGCCATTTGCGCAGCACTGCGCCAACTCCCAACTCCTAAAAATTAACTCTGAGCTACTCCGACCTAACCTCAATGATGGTTAATTTGATTAATTTGAAAATGCTCTCTTGCAACCGCCTAGACAGCTCCATGTTACCCATTCCATGCCTCTATAAACGCGCAGTGTTTCACTTTGTCTGCGAAATTACTTGTGCTCCTTTTTTCCTTCAAATGAGTTATTCGGCAAGTTATGTACACAGGGAAATGCCGAGAACTTATCTAGCGCTGCTTTGCCGCGTGCCCTCGTGCGTTGCTCCTTTTCTATCAGTCAATGTCTTCATTCGGCGCGTTTAGGCTCGATCGTTGAAATTTGGTAGCAAACCATCAACGTTAAGGAAAGAAATCGTCGGCGGCTCTCCACAGTCATCAATTATCCATATCCCGAAGGAACTCATTAACCGCGTACAGAGCGAACAAATCCCCGAAAAACCGCGCGCGGGAAGTTTTTTCCGCGGCGATAAATAATTCCACCTGTCAGAGAAAGTGTGAAAAAGTTATTTGCAAGTGATGCTACTTAAGATTACGCTCCGCAGGAGCCTTTTTTCCAGGAAAATCGCTTTATAAACTTTTCTTTGCATAATATATGGGAAGGCGGTCGGGATCGGTCTAATTCGCCCACCAAGTAGCAAGGGAAAACCGCACAATTGGCTCGAATTCAGCCAATCCAATCATTTCTGGTACACTTCTCGATTAAGACCTGTCAAACTGAAACCTCTATGGCACTTAGTGAGTCTCTCCCCATGGTAAAATCGGGATGATCCGGGTGTGAGATTCTGGGAAAATAGAAGAAAATGGACAAAAGCGCAATCTAATTGTCCCTTTTCAGCCTGCTGGCCAAAAACCGCACCATTTTTCTGTTAATTAGCAGTTCTTTGAAAGACTGAAGCTAACAAATGGAAACAATGACCCAGTTAGGCTATCGTGACGACCCATACAAAACGCACCCCGCTCGAATATCGAAACTGGGCGAGAAAATGGGGAATAGTGAATAGAACTTTCCCGGGCGCTTTCCAATAGGAAAATTAATTAGCGGCCCGACTTTTTCGCAATTTGGACGGCTGCGACACTCTAATCAAGTGACGGGGTGAAAGGTGAATTGGATTCGGTGAAGAAATCATTCAAAAAATAAAAGAAACTGTTGAAACTGGTCAGGATTTTTAGGCCGTGGTTGAAAAGAATTTCTTACCGACATTTTGCAGCACTGACTAGACCACGTCTGAAGATGCCATCTACGCCTGCTTGCAAAACGTCAGCAAGACATTCTGTTTTACCACGGTGTAAAACTTTCAGGTTCAGGAGAATTGACCAGTTTCAAGCAATAGCCGCGCAATGACAACTCGTGTGTTAAACAGTTTTTTTGTCAAATAATCGCTCTTGATTAAAGCAAGTGCATTCCAGCAATAACAAAAGCGTCGGGCCCAATCGGAAATATTGAAATTGCCGGTAAAACAATGGAAATTAATTCGTTTGTTCGATGTCGACGATCAAGAACACAATTGATTTGACCAGAATGTTGCAATTAAATTTGCAGCTCATTGTGGACGCTCCACAACACAACACAACGAATTAGCTGAAGCAGAATGTCCGAAGCCGGAGGCTCATTTTCGATCAGAATTACAATTGCTAATCGCTCAAGTCCCGAATTGTATCGAAGTTCGATGGTTTAGCACATGATGAAGAGCGACATTGCGTGGGCGTGGTTTGTTGCTTGCACAACTTCGGGCACAAGTTTATACAGAGTATGAGTTAATATTAGCGTAAATTCAAGCAATCCGCCGGAAGAGTGGTAATAAAAAGATAAGCGAGTGTGAATGAAGTGTTGAGGTTTTTGAGTTCGAGCGGAATCGGGACGCCGTTGTCGCCACAATTTATTTATTTCGGCGCCCGAACTGATCTCGTTATTTAGGCCGGGCAGGGTGCGAACGTTCCACGCTTTCCCAGACGGTCAAAGTTTGTTTATTTTTGCTCCATGCTAAGTAGGAAAAAAGCGATCGTCGGCGCCCTACGCTTGTTTTTTCGAACTGTGAGTGGAAATTGCTTCCTTCCCACCAGTATTTTTCCAGACACGATAACGGCGCCATATGATGGCGTTTTGATTTTCGATTTGCCATCAAAACGGTCTTAAGTGCCCCTTTTTATCACAGTTGTTCGTTCACTTTGCGCCCCCTAATGGTGGTGTCAATGGCGAATATGATTAGTTCGGACTAGTCACTATGATTATTACGTATAGCTGTGGTGATAATTTGGGCTTTTTGCCCGCTTCCCTTTAAATTGGTGTTCACTTTTTTCCAATTGTAAATTGAGCACAGTACGGTTTTTTGCCGCGTCCATATAAATTTCCTGCACTGCTGCGTGTCACAAACATTTCCGGTTGGAAAAATGCATTTCTGCCACCGAGAGCCATAAAGCGGCGCGTCGAGTTCTTGTGCGATTTGTGTCGCTTATCGACACGCGAAATTCGAATTAAATCTGCAAAAATTGGTTGCCAACTGACTGCGCCAGGTGATCGAAGTGCCATCTTTCGATTGCTCCGCCATCCCTCATATTAACTCGGAACGGTCCGGGATCGGAAATGGATGTAATACAGGTTTGCCAATTAGTCTTCCGCATAGCGACCATTACCTATTCAGTCTAATTGCGTAATAATGGGCGATTTGGTGAATAATTGACGCTCGTGTATGCATGAGACTGGGAAATTAAAGTGACAATTGACAACTTTGGCGCGAAATAAAGCAGACATTGACTGTGAGCTTCGCTTTATTATTTCTGGTTTAAAGGTGCTATTTGCCTTTCTTTTTTGCTGCTGTCTTTTTCCTGTCCTCCTTGTTTTTCTTGTCCGATTTCGGTTTGTCCTTGCGTTTTCTATCAATTACTTCGTCGGGCAGGGGCGCCAGTACACGTCTGGATTTGGGCCAGCCTAAATCATTAAAGTCTATTAAGTTGAGTGGAATCTAGTCATTTACTTACTGCCGACTGCGCCCAAATTTATAATAACTCGCAATTCAACTGCGACCGAAAATTGCTTTTTTTTATTAAAGAAGAAGGCCAGCTCTTCATTTGCGTTCCCTTTGCAATCCATCAGTGAGAGTGAAATTAATTTATGGAAATTGGCTGGTAAATATTTAAAAAGCACTTCCTAATTAATTATTCAGTGGTGGCGGTTCGGGCGATTTTTAATTAAAAAGGAAATATTTAAATGATCGCCGCCATTCGGAGCAGATGGGGGAGAAGCTGGTCGGGTTGAACTCTTATTTGCATGACAAAGATGATTTTATTTACGCGACTCTGCTAGCAGATCGGCAAAATGACTCTCTCCATTGTTTTTTGGCTTTGGCGCTTCCGCTCCCAATGTGAAAGATGCGACAATATTACTCTAACTAATTCAAATCGGAAGCAGCGGAAAATCGCCCTTGAATGGAATATGCAAAGTGCTTGCTGCAAAACAGAATTTGAAGTCGCAAAACTGAGCCGTTGTGGTTGGTTGGTTGAATTAGAGCTGCTCTAGCTACCCGATTCCGCACGTACCGAGTGAAACTACTCGAGGTTACCGTAATGAATTGTCTTCTGGAATGCAAGCTGACGAGTTGAAAAAGGAGCAGCATGCAAAAAGCGGCCCTTTGTTTCCCATATAACCGTATCGCAATTGTTGAGGGAAAGAGCGCGCCGCCAAGTTTCATCTAATGAAATCTGGAAAACGGGTCCATTATCCGACGTATTGTGGAGAATCCCGGGGCCGGAAAATTTGCAAGCGTTCTCGCACGTTGCATTTCGGCAAGCAAATGACAAATCTTCAGCTCGTAATTTCGCTTGCCAGGTTTCAATTGTAACGCGTGGAAAAAGGCGCAAAATTGCTCTTTAAGCCGTTCAAGTTTGAGCGGATGGTTTCAAGTGCCTTTTAGAGCCCAGCTCAGCATGCTCAAGTGATTCCATCGCATACAAAAAGCATCACTAGGTACAAGGTGGGGAAACTGCTTCTTTTTGTTTTGGATATTTCGGAAACTGGAATCGTGATATCTGGAAAATGCATATTTTGGGTTCGATTTTTCACAAGTTAAATGGCGCTTTTTTATTTTTTTGCGAGAAATAGACAAAAAAATTGCTGATTTTAACTGTATTTTTTAGTGAAAGTTTTTTTGTGAAAACTTCCATAACCCACAAAGCGCCAATTAGTGCTCTATCCAGTGGGGTATCATGAGGATCTTTAGCTCAATCTGTTCCGGAGAAATGAGCAAAAATGTGGCGTAAAACATGACATTTTTTCTTAATCCCTGCCCCTAAATGTCTGGTATTCAAATTTTGCGGTTTGTGAGTAAAGTTTCACTAATTCCAAACTAATGTTCTACTGAATGAATCGAGTGTCTAATTCTCTGTCGAATGGTACCAAAATGGATTTTGTAGCTCAAATTGTTCGTTAGATGCAACGAAAAAGCTGAAACTTTACTTTAGATTTAGACTTTTTTGAGAAAACAGCCAACTTTTTCCGAGCGATGCTTTACGTCATAAAACCGCCAATTGCTGGTCTCTCTAGTGGTGTAGAAGTGAGCGCTTCAGCTCAATCCCGGGCAAACGAGCAAAAAGGTGGCGGAAAACGTGCTCTGTAGCTCAAATGGTTCTGGAAAATACGGCGTGATGTTTGAGTCGAAATAAAAAAAAAACGCGCAAAACCAATATTTTTCTTACACTTTTTTGAGAAAACCACCAACTTTTTTCGAGCGATGCTTCACCTCGTAAAAGCGCGAATTGGTACTCCATCGCTCAATTCATCTCTGAGAAATTAGCAAAAATGCTGCAAAAAACAAGAACATTTGGCACGATCTTGCGCCTAAATGTTTGACGTTAAAATTTCTCCTAAGTCACTCAAGTCTCTCATCCTGGTAGGAAAACCAGATTTGCAGCTCAAATGGTTCTTTAGACGCAACGAAAACGGTGGTCTTGCCTTAATTGCCAGTAAATTAAGTTTTACCTAATTTTTCTCAAAAATTGCTTTTTCATCCATGGCACCTTCTTCTACTCACCCCTTCAATTCTGGATATGAGTGTTTCAATTGGAAATGAGTGCCACGCAAAAACAGCATATTTTCGCTTACTGCTAATAGTCGAGGTAACATGTCAGGACAGGATAGGCAAATTTGAAATTCCCGCTCATACCAGGCCGTTAATCTTGACATCTGCTTTACCTGCTGAGATGTTGTCACTTGTGAAAGCTTTGAACTTTGGAAGTTTGAAAATTTCCCGTTTGGAAGAGAAATCCTTAGTGAAGACGCCCCCTATCGGTCGGTACCCAATGTTCAATGTGCTGACGGTATAAATTTTCCTGGCAATCGAACTCGATTAAAGTCCTTTTACCCGAATGTACTTATCTCGATTTGCCGTTTGACCGTGAAATACGGCCGTAATCTCATAAAGGACGTCGGACGTAATTCAATTTTATCTCCTGGAAAAAAAACCCCGTCTTCTCCGATAATAAAAGCGCTGGGCAAACGTGAACAATGAGGCCGTTTGGATGCATCGCGCTGGATTCGGGCAAAGGCACTGTAGCTGAGGGAGTTTCTCGGTTGCTTGATTTGATGTTTTTCAAAGATTGCCAGCTTGAAGGCTCAAGACTACAGAGACTGAACTGAAGTTGTCATAACAGACTCGCATGACATCAGTGATGTCAAATCTTCGGACTATCAATCTCTGCGACTGTCACGGTGGCAGCAAGAGCAAAAAGACGCAAACCGTAGCGCCCTCTTTGACTGGAAAAAAGTTAGTTATGTGACCAAATATACTCGGTATTAAATGGCTTCGCACTGGACTTGGCGTCTTATTAATGGGGCGCCGAATACTTGGCAATGCGACGAAAATCCGACTTTGTTCTCCTTTTAATTCGTGTCTAACTCGGGCTGGAGTTTATGAAGCGAATGGGCCATTCGAGGACGTTTCTTCATCCTTGTCCAGTCGAGTGTAAAAACATACATGGACATTTACAATTTATCAAAAATTCTGTAGCAAATTGCGGCGCCTTCGAAAGACATGACCTCATTTCTGGCGACTTTATGAATAAAAGTCTCGATCTGTCCGCTTTGTTCAAATAACAGAGTCGTCATTTCCGTGGGGCATTAAACGTCCGCCCTGGACAATATGCCGCCAATTTGCTGTTCGACTGTGAAATACGTCCGTGATCCCATAAAGAAAGCCGGACGTAATTCAGTTATATCTGCCGCAGGAAAAAAAGACGAGCGAGCCTCCTTGGGGATGAAAATAAATAAAAGTGAATTCAACGTGAACCCACGCGATCCAAACCGGACACATCACGATGGTTGGGGATTTCCCCGGAAAAAAACTGGGCCCGCGCCCGATCTAATGGCCCAAAAAAACAATTTGTTTCCTCACACGATGCGGACCTTTAATATGAAATTCAGGAGGCCGGTTTTTTTTTTTTGACCAGATTTTACCTTTTCGCACACAGTCCACCAAACTATAGACGGAGCAAAAGTCCGCAATGTAACATCTTCCCATCGGCATGCTCCTCAAGGCGAACTGGATAATGTCTTTGTCATTGTGCGCATCACTTTCAGTCAACACAGCGCTGGATGAGTCCAGGAGCTGCTGACATTGTTGGATCTGCTCTTCTAGGGCATCGGCTGAAACAAAACACATTTGATTTAGGCTGCATTATGGAAAATCGGTTTGGTTGCACCAAAGCCACCTTCGGATTTCAGGTCGTACTTGGTCCTTTGCGCCTCCTTGATCCGTTTCAGCTCTTGTAAGTCGAGCATTTTAAGCAAGTCGGCGGTGTGGGCAGAGCGCGTGTCGCAGTCCCTGATTAGGAGAAACAGCTCGTAAGAGCCGGCTAGATTAAGAAAGGCGGCCATCGACAAATAGTCGGCCACTTCCAAGTAGCCGACATTTGAGTATTTCCAGTACAGATTGAAAGGGCGGTCCAGAATCGCCGGACAAAAGTCGTACATCGCGTCCAGTAGCAGTTTAAAGGGCGGGAACGGTTCAGAGGGCAAATGCACGGTTTTTTGATCGATTATTTCCCAACAGATGGTGCTCACCACGTTCAGGCGCACGTCCATTCTTGCACGTTGCAAACGGAAAATTTCGAAATTCAAATTTGAC